ATAGTCAATGACATGCACTGTAATGATGTACACGTAAATGTACATACATGTAATGCCTGAATTTGGCACGACATTAATTGTGTCAATATTATTATTATTATTATTATTAATTATTATTATTATTGTTATTATTATTAGAAACTTGATAAAAGAGGAGAGGATTTATCAAGGATTGAGGAACAAACAGAAAAGCTTGCCACTGATGCTGATGACTTTGCTTCTGTTGCTGAAAGGCTTGCTGAGAAGTATCGAAAGAAAAGATTTTAATTCATTGAAATTGTAAAATAAATTTAATGCACACACACACACACGCTTAACTATGTTGTTATTAGTAATGTTAATTGCTTTATTCTTTCCATTTTTATTTCATCTTGTTAGATTATTAATAGTTGCAATGATTTATTATGATTGAGAGAATAATTATGATAACAATATAAGATGAAGTGATATCAGGAAATTTACTCCTAGCCATAGCATGCTTTTTTGTCACATTTTGGTGCAACTAAAAAAATCCACGAAGCTGAGCACTATAACTGTGTCAAAATCCTTTTTAAAAACTCTGAATGTGGTTATTATGGGAGTTGTACAATTTAGTGCTTATTATTATTGCTATGCATACATCTTATTAATCTATTGTGGTTTACTTAATTATCTCTAGTTATGTAACATGCACAGAACATTCTAGACTGACCACATGTATTATACTGTATATAGTTTATTGTTCTTTTGTTCTGTTCACTTCCTTTGTTCTGTTCACTTCCTTTGTTCTGGATCTCTTTCTCTCGCTCCTTTTGCTCTCTTAGTTTATCTTATGTGATTATCACTTGTCAAGTGTTGAGAGTCATTTGTTGTTTCAATAATTACCAGTTTATATCAGTTACAAACTCTCACTTTAATGCTCTATTGAAATATAGTGGGAATTAATACAATGTCTTCATTCAATTTACTACTATAGTCACATCATTCACCTTTTGATTGTTATCATAACTTTGTTGGCTCATTTGGTATTTATGAGTCAACATAGATGTCTTCATTAGTAAGGAAGTTAGCAAAAAACCAAGTCATTTGACACAAGATGCTGTGATTAGATGTTCACAGCATCATCCCTGATATACTGAAATGAACTATCTCTAAACAATTCATCTTCTCACTTAGCTCTACTGCAATTGCCAACTCTCCTATACCATCTTCAATTGTCTTAACAACACTGAATGGTCATGTACCACCTACTTAACTATAATTTTCTTATTCTCTTGTTCTTTAAACCTATTATTTACATTTACTTTCTTTCCTTTCCCTTTCTCCCTTTCTCTAGCTCTCTTTTGCTTTTAATTTACTGGCTTGCCAGATTTTTTGGTTCTAATTTTATTATTGTCTTTTACTCTGAGTCCCAGCCTCTCTGATTTTTATCACTATTTGTTTTAATTAATTTAAATAATTATTTAGACCATAATATTTCAAAAAAAGTTATCTCTCCTCCTCCTGTTTTCTCTCCTCAGCTCCCTACAGTACAACCATAGTTGTTATTCATTATTTACTGTTAGTAAAACCATGTACAAGATCTAATTCAAAATTATCAGATAAACTAAAACATTATGTTCAATTTTTACTTATTACTTTTACTTCATTCCTTAAAAATAATTATTGGAAACTTAATGAAAACATTATGATAGAGACATCAACATTCACCTCAAGTTAATTGCAGTCGTAATAAAAAATTAAATATAAACATAAAGTCAGTATATTAGCAATGACATATGCTCTACCGCGCTATCTTCCTGTTTATGGCTGCTGTTCCACAAGATTATATTTATCACCTTTTACTTTTTTTTGCCTTTTACCATTACCCTTTTGCTCGGAATCATCAGCATTTTCCTGTAGGTGATCCATTTCTGAATCGTGTCGTTGTCGTTGACATTGTGTCCGGAGCTTATCTAATAATAACACATACATAATGTAACAGTGACATAATAATTGATAAAAATAAATACTAACCTCTATATATGTATTTGAATACAGCTACCAGGACTACTATCAAAACTAAAATAACAACTACAAAAATAAAACAGCCAACAGCAATACCAATAATAGCTCCTGTCATCACTAAAAGAGAATAATAATGTGATAGCCATATAAAGCAGTTCTCAGCTCTAAAATAACTAACTTGTTGGAGAGTCTGATCCTGCTCCAATGGTTGGTGTTACAGAAACTGTGGAAAGTGATGAACTAATGTCAAGAGGAAGCAGCGGAGTAGTATCTGTTGATATATAATAATAATAATATTCTAAAATATACCATAACATACTAAATGTTCGTATGAATGGCTCACTACTGCCAGCCTCATTACTAAATACAACACTTATATTGCACTGTTGATACTGAGGTACTGATATTAATCCTGTTATATTATTTGGTTGTCTTTCCTGTTCTATTAGCTCAGTATTACTAAACACAACACCAGTTCCATTACATTCTACAGTAACTGTAACTTTCTCAGGAGCTTCACCAGTACACTCAATTATAGCCTATAAATTATGCAATTTTTTTCAAGACAAGGTATACACTTTTTACCATAATACTATATTGAACAGTAGCTGTGTCATGTGTATAGTTAAACGTATCTAGTGTAGTGTGTTCTACTGCTGATCTGGGAACTATAAATAATAATTAAGTCTTTTTCAAACATTGTTCATACTTCAGCATACCTCTTTGATATGAGAATGTATTATTATTAGATATTCCTTCTCCTAATTCATTAACTCCAGTTATAACATATGTATAACGATGAATAAATAAATTATCATCCTCAAACTGATAACTGGTATCATATACTGATACAGTATCCACTAGACTACCAGTAATAGCATCATAAATTCTTAGTATGTAATAGAGTATAGGTACTCTATCATCAACTGTAGGAGCAGCCCATGTTATATCAATAGTAGAACAGTTGACAATTGAAGAGTCAATGTTAGTAACTGGTCCAACTTTACCTAATAATGAGAGAACTAAAGAATATACAATGTAATAGTTCTTACTATATCCAAAAGAAGGTGTAGGTAGGAATTCTCCTCCATTATTACTCAGTGATACATTAACAATAAATGTATTTAAGTTATTAGGTACAGTTATTACTCCAGTAATCATCAGTTGATGATGTTGATCATTAACTCGTGTTGATATACTAACACTATCTTGCACCTCATTATCAGTATTCAGTATAATAACTGTAATATTGTTAGGATATTCACCAGTACACAGCTTACTGATCTATATACAATTACAATAGTTTACAATGTGACAATAATGACAAAATTGTAGTTCTACTATGCCTAATTGTAGTTGACCACAATCAGATTGGTTGATGTGGTATAATAAATGCCATAAACAATGTAATGTACATGACATTTCAAAAACATTATTATTATAAAAAAGCCTTAATGGTTTCTCATATTTACAAATTTCCTGCCTACATGATATTAGTAATACATGTACTCACATTAATACTGATATTCAATTGTCTATCAATTACTAGTGCCACTGATACAGGAGGAGTAATGAGAGGAACTGAAAGATACACTGTGAACATATACATGACGCCATAGTAGGACTAACCCGTTTCATAATAAAAACTGATATTATTAGATGAACCTATCCCAACATCATTAATAGGAGAAACTGATACATTATATAATATACAAGGATCAGGATTAGTAGCTGATAACGTAATAATAGTATCATTAGTAGTAGTAATGTTTACTAATCCATTGACTATGTAGTATCCGGTGATAGGTACATTATCCAGTGTATAAGGAGCTGTCCATGTTAATAATACACTGGATCCATTAATAAAGGTATAATTCAGATCAACAACACTAGCCAATAGACCTAAAGAAGAAGGACTGACAACATCATACCCCTAGGGAAATGGGCTGGAATCCTTTAATCATCACTTATTCAATGAAAAAAGAATACTTTTTGTAATAATATTATTTTAAAAATAAGATTCTTTATCATTATGGTTTTTTATAGTAACAGAGGCGTATTTAGGGGGGGGGGGCTGAGGGGGCTTGAGCACCCCCCTCAGGGCTGGGCTCAAAAAAATTACTGAAGTCCTGGACTCTTGCATCACTATCAAGCCTCTTAACAAAGTTATCTAGCCCCCTGATCATGATTTCAGCAGTTTCCAGTTCTTTAAGGAGCAATCAGAAGTACCAGTAACCATAGGCGGCTGCAGGATTTGACTACTAGTCGGGCATGGGTGTGGCACAGGAAATGGGTTGGGCGCGCGAAGCGCGCCGCGATTTTGGCCACACCCTTTTTACGCACCCTTTTTAGCGCAATTTTTTGGTAGCGAAGGTTATTGTAATAAAGTAGTGGGTGGTGTAGCTCCAACACTGACTTCTGTAGTGGTAATAGTACTAGTAGTAGTATTAGTAGAGGAAGTAGAAGAATAGGGTGATGGAGAATGAGCAACAATTGACTGTACATCAACTGTAGCTGTAAAAACTGTAGCTGTATCAACCACAAGAGTAGACTGAGACTCATGATCATCAACTGATTCAGCAAGAGACTGACCTAAAATAAGAATATGAGATAATCTATATTATTGACTTCTATACTGTACTTACTAGGTTCACTTTGTAAACTGTTGTTCCTTTTTAGCAGGCTTGTTCACAAAGGACATAGTGAAGCTAGTCCAGGCTTTTAGACATTGCAACTGACAAGAAAAGAACACTGAAATAGCACAAAATAATGAAATGATTATGCTTTCTAGTGTTGCTGTGGTGGCCCACTGTGATTGGCACCAAAGTCTTACCACCTCCTCCTTTATTTAGTCTCTCTTCATCACCTTGTTATCAGCCTACCATTTATGCATTCATAATTATAAGATTTTCATAAAAAATTGAAATTATAATTGCAATAACTGTTATTAACTATTAATTAACCATAGAATAACTATTAATTATGGTGATGTCACACTTCCGGTCAGAATTTTTGGTCGGGCATTGCCCCTAAATGCCCGACC